AAAACCACCTGGGTTTCTGAAACTGTATTATTTATTTCCCTGCATGAGGGCACTGAGGTCAAGAAGAGCCTTGCAGAGGGCAACAAATTATGAACTTGCTTTCAAAATAAAGCTGGGTCTGTTCACGGAGCATTTACATGAAGCCTTAGCACGTGACAGCCTTGTGATCCATGTACCAGGCACAACAAACATATAGAGCAATGCACACAGTACTGTGTGATGGTTCACAAATAAATAAATCAGTGCTTTTTGACCTGTACTTTGCAGACCCATGGGCGTCCATGGACTATATCCAAGAGGTCTGTGAAATGTAGTGTGGGAAATCCAGTTTAGATGAATTGCAAGGGGATTTGCATCTCCATTAGAGAATGTTTAAGTGTCTGTTAAAAAAGTCAAACCACCAAAAAGAGGGGGAAAAAAAAGGTTATAATTCTACGTTTGCAAATGACTGCTATATTGAAGGGATAAATACCCAGGAGTAAATACACACATTGTGCAATACTGCATTCAAAATAAATAAACCCTTCAAAACCAAAGTTCGTCATAGGAGCTGTTGAGTTACAGATGAGCTTCACAGATTTGTGTCTTTTGTCTCCGTAGCGTTGAGTCTCAGCATCTGTCAGTGAGTTATTAACCAAAACTGAAGCAGATCCCAGCCATGCTGGCCCAAATTCCTGGCTGGGTATGAGAAATGGCCAAGGCTTAATGAGCCCATGCTATGGCTTTGATGTTCAGCTGTTACCTGGGTTTGCCATTCATGGGAAGGAAATTGCTGCTGAGCCACTGGAGCTGTGGTGGCTCATGGAATCATGGAATATTCTGAGTTGGTAGGGACCCATATAGATCATAGAGTCCAGCTCCTGGCCAGTCTTGCTTAAGTTTTTCTGCCTGGCAGAGCACTCATGTGGGTACAAGTGCTAAGAGTAAAGCTCTTGGGATTCATCAAGGTGAGATGCTTTTATGGTAATGTGAAAAACCCGATCTATGCACGGAATTATACATAATAGTTGGGATCATATCTGAAATTATGTCAGGTAAAAGAAAAATACAAGCCAACAGCAAGTAGAAACCTACCTCCTGTGGTATATTACTGTGTAATTAGTTATGTGTGACTGGGAGCAGATGAGGATCTATCTTGCTATGAAGCACCATTGCAAAAGAATGCTAAAAGCCCAATAAATTCCTAGACATGACCTATCTTCAAAGATCTATCTGCAAAATGCACAAGGCTTTTTTTCCATCTCCCTTCATGAAAAATCCCCATTAGCAGTGCTGCAGGAAACCAGCCACTTGCATCCCTTAGGTCTTATTATGCAGGAGAACAGCATTTTGGGGAGGTCATGACCCAGGATTGAATACTAGATGAGAGCAGTCCAGGAACAGAAGGTATGATCCCACATTGCTCTACCACTAAATAATCCTACCGCTGGGGATTCACTTCTCTGCCAACCACCCCTAATTAATGCTGTTAGGCACGACTCTAATACCATCCCTGCATCAGTCCCACAGACATCAGTGGCAAACCTGTAATTTAATTCAATAATAGCAGGACTGAACCACAAATACCCACCATCACCTGACCTTCAGCATGCAGGCGAGTCATGATTTCTCTGTCTTTGGCTTTACTCTTCTCTTTTCCCTACCAGAAGTTGCAGGAGGACTAAAATTTGTACCTGAAGTGGCACTGAGAGCTGTGGACACCATGCATAGCCTTCAGCATGAAAGAGCATTTTAAGAGAGGTATCACTTAATGGAAGTATAATAAAGGGTTTACAAAATTAATAACAAGGAAGGGTTTTGCATGACCCAGAAGCGTGCCACATTTTCCAGAGATGTGCCTCCCATCCACTATGGAAATCCAACCCGAGCCTGCTTTGGTGTGGGTGATTGCTGTTCCCACAGCTCCTGCCTCCTGCCTGAGCACTGCTGTGCATTTACCATCGAGTCCAGCAGTCATCCATCTCCCCTTTGCTTCTCCCCATCATGCATTTTGGGGAGTCCCACTGACTTCAGGTGGCAGTAAGCATTCCTGTGGAGAGCAGACACCCTGGTATATTAACTTTAGCATTCTCCTAGCTGTTTTTAAGGGGTTTTGTTTGTTCAAATATATGTTTGTATGGTTTTTTATATGTTATTAATGTTTTTAATAACTATTTACAGGACTGAGTTTAACAAACAAAACCATTTCTCAATTCTGATCTTCCATTGGAAGCAATGGGGAGGTCTCATGGCTCTAGAAATGACACAGTGTGTTTGTTGAAAGCCCAACTTCTCCACAAGGCAGCTCATCAGGATCCACTTGCCTTTCCCAGCAGCATTGACACAGGAACTCGAGCAACGTCAAGTTGTGTAGATTGGTGTAAATTCTGTGTGACTGGTGAACAAATTGACTTCTGAATTGGGTGGTTTTCCTCTTCCCACAAATGGCATTTTGCCTTGTCCAAATTCACTTCTCGTTAAATCCTCCCACTGAACTGTGCTCAGTGTTTAATAATAGATGGATTGCATGTTTAAAGCAACTGATTTACTTAAATTAGCTCTGCTGAGATTTAGCAAATTTGTGACAAATATCTCAGTGCTTTCTAGCTGAACATAAATATGATCCAGGGAGTAAAACTGTCTGCCTTGTCGTGATGGCAGAAAAATGGAATATCAGAATCAGGCCCAACATTTTCAGATACACTTAGGACATTTTGTGGATAAATTTCCACCATATTTTGTTCTTGTGTTTTTTTTGTTTGTTTGTTTTTCACCCCAGAAGCCAGGAGTGAAACATCTTTGTAAGAAAGAGGAAATCAAGCCTGGATTATAGTAACAGATGCCATTTATTCCCAGTCTGGCAAATGACCCTGGAGTATATGGTAAAAACTTTGAATAAAACAGCACAGACCTCTTCACCAGAGATTAGCAAGTCTGTTTATTTGCTCAGCTTACACAGCCCTTGTTTTATATTTGGATGTATATGAAGCACAACAAATAATTTAGCATGTGACAGCTGCTTTGTATAAGACCCCAACTGCTTTTCCAGCCAAGGCATGCTAGAAGGAGTGGAGGTGACTTCCCACACCAGTTTCTTAATGAGCCTTCTTCCTCTTTGAGATGTTGTAGCAAAGAAATTGTTCCTCACAAATGAATGGATATATTTGCAACATTTCTTTGATTATTATTATTATTATTTTTTAATGATTCATCAAATAGATCTAGGTAGAATGCATGTCCACGGATGGTCTGCCCTTGCAGCCCATCCCATTGGGATCTTCCCAGACCATACAATGTGACCAGCATGGTTAGGGTGAAGCTGCAAAAGATGTTTCCATTGAGCAGTAGAGCAATTTGTCCTCACCAACCCTCAGGGCCAGGAAAGAGGCTGGTTCTGAGCTTCTTCGTTTCTGCTTATCCTCATTTGCTCATCTAGAGTTCCTAATTTGTAATATTCTGCTTTAATATCATGCATTAAGCCTAAGCTTATAATGAGCGTGGTATGGGACGTACATGGCAGAGTGCATTATGAACAGCTCTGATTGACGGTGCCGTGCAGCGATGACAGCACTGTGTTTTCCTTTCATTTTTGGAGACTAAGTGGCTTACATGTGGTCCCATTTAGAGGATGTCTGGGTGGCAGCTGCATTCTCCTATGTGCTTATGAGAGGGAAATGAACTTTTCAGTCTTGAAATGCTGTAAAAAGGGGTTATGTAAGAAGGCTGCATGCAGCTATTGAAGGGGGAAAATATCCTCTCCAGACAATGTGACTTCCTGTTTACAAAACAGAAATGGTTTGGACTTGCCTCTGAAATGCCACGCAAGACTTCTGATGCTTTCCAGAGCAGTGTCCGGCTTTGGGATTTGAATGATTCTTTGGGGAGTGCTGTCCTCAGAATAAAAACCATCGCTGAGGCCGTGCATCTGAAACCACCCATCCGTTTCCCGGATTTCAACCTCCATCTTTAAATGCAGAGGCCTCATTTTTAGGGAAATGCTTTGAGACGTGGCTCACATAAAGTGCCTTTCTCCGTCATAGCAAGCAAACTGTATTTATCTCTGCTCTTGTGCAAGAGAATCATAAAACCCGTGTGGAAGCCAGTGGTGGGAGACGTTGCACTGAGTGACATGGTTTAGAGCAGTCACAGACATGGGTTGATGGTTGGAATAGATGATTTTAGGGTCTTTCCAGCCTTAATGATTCTGTGATACTATGAAACAACCCCTGCAATTCTCTCTATGGACCATGGTCCACTAGGACCTGACAACACACATCTCTTCTCTTTTTCTGGATGCTGGCAAGCAGTTTTTTTTTCCTTTTTCATTTTCTGCAGCGTGAGCTGTCCCCACAGCTCAGCACTCATTCAGAGGGGAAGCCAAGAGCAATTGAGGAGTTGTTCTTGTGGTGTTTTGGCACCAAGGAGTGAGTGAGTAAGTGACCGAGTCCTGCCAAGACCAGATGGTCCCTTTGAGTAGAGTTGTGGCCTCTGGTGACAAAGTGCAAGGAGGTTGCCAGCAGAGGGCTGACCCAGCAAAAAGCTGGTTTATTTATACATTTCAGCATGTGCTGAATGTGTGTGCTGAGTGGAAGGAGTGAGGGAGAGCAGTGTGTTGAAAAGCACGCTTTGCAAATAAATGGATAGTAGGGTTGCACGTTTGAGATCTGTGCACCAATTTCCAGTGAGAAAACGTCCCATGGGAGCTCACAGAAAGAAAGGAACCAGTTCCCAAGAGGTCCCTGCCCCCCACTCAACAATCAGAGGCTAATGGTACTGGGCACATGTTGTATCTGATTTCCAAAAGATGAGCTGGGCTGTTAGATGGCCTTCCCATCCCTGGTGCTGTGACCCTCAAAACTGAGAAGCTGTGCTCATTTGGGACCAGCTACCTCCTTCCTTTACTCACCTCTGTAGTACAATTGGGAGTCAGGGAAAAAGCCTTGGTGTCTATGGCACAAAACCTGCACAACTTTGAATCCTGCTTTTTACATGCATATAATACTGTTGTCATGAACTATTAGGTCATGGCCTGAACCAGTGATTGAACACCTGGTGAAGGGGAGCAGCCAGCCCTGAGAGCACAGGTGGAAGCAATTCACCTGTGCAACCAGAAGGGTCCACCCCTCCCTAGCCTCATTTAAGGGCTGGCAGCTGTAAGAGAAAGATCTCTGCTTGGATATTCCTTCTTTTGGAGTGTTTGGTGAGCCTCGATCCTTAGAAAGGGGTAAGTGATTCTTTCTTTTTTTTATTACTGGAACATGACTGCTGTTTTCTTGGGTTTAAAGCAACTGTGTCTGCTGCTGCTTACATATGTTAAACAAGAAATGCGTCTCGCTGTGTTTGGCTTCTTTGGGATTTGTGTTAGCATTGCTGATGTACTTGTTGTTATACTGCTAGCTGGTAAGCTGTGTCCAGGAAGCATGCCTGCTTGCCCTCAGCGTTCATGAGTCATTGGGTCATTCCTATTGCATGTGCAGTATACCTGAAATGATTCTTAGATACTCAAAAAATACAGTGTCCGTGTTTACTGAATTGGCTTTTTTTTTTTTTTTTTTTAAGTGTTACAAGGCAGGCATGGAGAGGAGACCTTTCTCAGGCTCCTTGTTTCTTTCTGCTCCCTGAACAACTCATTAATCACTTGTACAATGTAACTGAACTCCAGGCTACTGCCTTCTGCCTTGAAAGCAACACTGTCCTTTCTGAAGCATCTGTATCTGGGAAGCATGGTCTTTGTTGTTGTGTTTTTTCTGCAATCTGATGTAGCCTTGAGTGTCTGTCTTGCTGGGAGCAACAAATGGGTCCAAGCTTTGTCTACATCTGTGAAGGTTGTCTGAAATCTTCCTTGTTGATAAGCTGGAGAAAAATGTGGTGCTCAGTCCTTCATGCACCTGTCTTGGATGAACTTTGGGTTATGGTATGGACAAGTTCTATTTGGGTTCAGAGTAGTTGTTTTTGTTGCTGAGGTTGATTTCTGACGTTTCTCACCCTGATCTCATTATGCTTCTGCCCATTAAAAGGCCACTTCATTCCCCTCTGGTCCATGTGGGTCTCTGGAAGTTCATCAGATGTCAGGCTGAGATGAATTGCCAATGGCCCAAGCAGGGTATTAAGCTGCGTATGAAGAAAACCTCCTTGACCTGATGAATCCCAGAGCCAGTCAGGGAAGGTTATTGACAGAGAAGTCAAAGCAGAGCATGGGGAGTTCTCATCTGTGGGAAAACACCATGGTGCTCAGTGAGAGGAGGAGAGGCATGGCCTTAGGGTGCCTGGAGTGCTTCAGTGGCTGTGGTCTAGCTGCAAACTGAAGGATCTCTAATAGAGGATAAGCAGGGAACCTGTCCTTTTCACCAAGAAATGAAAAGGAGGAAAAGTGAAAATAAACTTTGAAAATGGAAACTAAATTCAGAAGGAATAAGTTTAGAGGGGGGGAACAACCATCCACCAAAAAGCATTGCTCTGCTGAGGTCAAGGCAGAGAAGTGTCTACGTGGGGTTAAGGCACAATATGTGGTGAGAAAGGGAGATGGTGGTGAAAACAGAATGGGAGAAGACAAAGACACTGCTTCCCCCATGCTCCTCTGTCACAACAAGTCTACTTTGTGACCCCATCACATCTGCCTCAATCTGTCTTCATTTGGCTCTGAACAGCGATAGAGAGCTCAGCAGGTTTTCATTATGGCAATGTGATTAGGGCTCGTGATGACTTGGGGAAAATCCTCCCCTTTATACAAAAATGGCTAGATGGGCCTTGCTGGTTTCATGCTGCTGCTGGAAAATGGGCCTGGGAAGGCTGACCAGAGGTTGGCACAAGGGGGAAGACTGTATTTTCCTTGCAATTCTTTGCTTTTAGCACTAATAACCTGGTAATGCCTCCCAGCTTGCTGCTTCCTCCAGCCAGCCCTGTGCTTGTGGTTAGTGCTGAAGCTCATTGTGCTGAGCAATTGCACTTTGTTATTTTAAAAATTACAATACAAAAAAAGATATTTCATAGTGGGGAAGAAGCCAGTCTTTGCCACGTCATGCTAAGTGGAAGTGAGATGCTGCTCCACTAAGCATCACAGGATGGTCAGTGTGAGGCAGGTGACTGTAGAGTCATGCCAGCTAATTCTGACACTAACAGATTAATAGTCCTTTAAAAAAGAAAACTTGCCTTTATTGTGCAGGCTACAGGAAGCTGCAATGAGCTGATGTAAGCCTGAGGAGCATCCAGGGAGTATTCACACCTCTGCAGCTTTGTGTGTCCACTTCATATTGTTGGCTGGCAGCATCTGTTGCTTTATGTTGGTGTCTGCAGGCGGCCTGGTGCAGAATGCTTCTGGGAGCTCAGGAAGGTGTTGAGTTCTTCCCTGCATGGAGTATGATCAGGCTGACACCCTAATATTCCATGTCACCTGGCATCAGGCAATGATTTACTCTTTCAGAGCAGTGCACTAACAGCGCTGCATCACTTATGAACTGCATCTCTTGCTCTTTGGTCCAAATTTCAGCAAGGAGAAATACCTCATATAATGTTCATTGTCACTATTACCTGTCTTTCTACAAACACTAGAAGCATGTCCCAGTGAATATGAATTGCCTCATCCCTAGAACACCCAAGGTCAGGCCTGATGGGGCTCTGAGCTTCTGATGGAGCTGTGCTCATTGCAGGACAGATGGGCTAGATGACATTTAAGGGTTCCTCCCAACTCAAATGAATCTATGATTCCGTAAGTGCTGCTTTTCATTGGGAAAATGCAAAAAAAATGGCAGTCCTTTCTTAGACATTCTGCTGTCTTATGAAACAGACATGGCTTGAGTCACATTTACTGGGAGGGAGGAAAATGTTCCCACAACCTGGTATGTCAATGTCTTCTTGAGCTCTGAATAAGTGTGCTTGGAGCCCTGATAACAGGGCACCAATGATATGTTTTGTGTGGTGATGGGTTGATGGATGGACCAGATAATCTTTATGGTCTTTTTGCAGCCTCTGTCATCCTATGCCACATACTTTCTCCAACTCTGTGGACACTTGTATGCCTTCCTAGAGGAACAATTCCTCTTTGGAGGCAGAAGAGATGCATGTGCTGATGACCTTTTGTGTCTTTTTACATGTGCATGGATGCCCTGGATGCACTTGACTAGGTCAGTGAAAACTGCTGACTCCATCCCTCCCCCCACCAGCCATAAAGGGGTTTGGGACTTGGTTAGAGGCTCTGACAAACATCTCAGGACTCTGGTGGTAAGACAACATGAGTTGCTCCCAGGTTGTACCAGGGCTTTGCCAAACCTCCTTGACTTCTTGCAATGAAATTTGTCCCTTTGGGTGCTCAGAGCCAGCCTAGGGCAGAACAAGACATCCCCACTGGCTGGTTTGGCAGTTTCCAGCTCGCTGCTGCCCATCACAGCTCTGCACCTTCCTTTCCAGCCACTAAGATTGCAACAGACTTTTCCTTTCCTTTTATTTCTCTTTTTCTTCTGGTTCAGTGTGGATTACAAATAATGTCTGAAGCTCATCAAGGAAATGACTTCAGGTTTTAAGTTCTTTGCTGGGGTTGCTTTGAATATGTGGGTGCTTTTCTGCTGTTTTTTTTCTTTCCTGTGCATCCGATAAACAGCTTCCCCTCTAGAAATGAATACAGGATGATATCACAGCTCAGTGAAATGCACTTGTTGCTTTAGCTCTCCTTGTGTTTCTAAGAGCTCACTCAAATTTCACCAAAGTTGGCTCTATTTCAAAGCCTAAGATGATGGATCATTGGGCCAGATTTCTCCTCTTGCTTTTACTATTCCGGAGCCAGAAAAATTAATAACGCTGTGATTTTACTAGGGAGTGTTATACGTTACCAACCATGAACACTTGAATGTAGGTATTTGCCATGACCGCCTTGCTGGCTCATTTAACCACTTTCCTCGAGGTCTGGGTCCTTACAGCAGATTTTTCAGGTGGAGCTGTGTTTATTTCTATTTTGTGGAAGGAAGGAGGAAAACGCAACTTGACAGAGGGGTAGGAGCCACCTCACCTACCTACCAACCTATGTTAGCTAGTGCCCATTGCAGTCAATGAGGAGATACAGGCTCCTCAGGAGTGTAGATGCCCAAAACACACTGTAGATATCTCAGTCTTTTCACTGAGTACTGATGGAGTTGGGGGCAGTGAGATGAAATCTGCCTGAGCTAAGAGACAACGATTTTTTTTTTTTTATATAGTGTAAGAACAAATTAAATCTTTCTCCCACACTACTAAGTTTGAGTTTTCTCTTCAGAGTTACAGCACTTTCCTTTGAACTCGGTGCTACCCAAAACTCACTGAGGACTGGATCTCTGGGACACCTACAGAGAAGCATTTGCAGAATAGGAGTTAAAGTCATGTTCCATGGGTATAAAGATTCTCATGGCTTTGCAGGAGTGGAAAAAAAAACAACCCTATCTATGCAGGACAGGGTAACTTTAAGTTAAATATATTTCAGGGATGGCTACTATTAGGATTACTACTGTACAAGGATCTGTCTTCTGTTGCATAAAACAGCATATTATTTAGGTGGTTGTAATATTAATTAACGATCACCCTCTGAGGTGAGTGCATTATGGAGTGATAAGTGGCACTTTGTAAAGACTGGTAATCAAAAGCCAACTGATTTTTTTCTGATCCCATACAAAGTTCATCTAGAAAATGGGAGATTGTTAGAAACCTTATTTGAGAAAGACTGGCACTTTTTTGTTGTTTTTTTTGAGAGGAAAGGGAGGGAGATTTATGGCTTTCCCTTAAGGAAATTATGACTCCATCACACAGTTACCAATGCAGAAAGAGAGCAATCCATGATTCTTGCCCTTTATCTTAGGGATGTTAATTCAATTTGCATCTTGGGAAATAAACTTCATTTCTGCAAAGTCCCTGAACACCTCACACAGGCAGAAGTCAGGAGAAAAACTGTTGAAGAGTGATCCTTGAGAAGTCTGGATCCACAGGAGTGCTGAGGAGGGTTGAATGTCAGCTCTACATCCAAACCTCAGCCAGTAGAGAAAGGATGACATCTCCGTGATTCAATTTCTCCAGCTGGTTTCTTAATTCCTTTGCCACATGGATGTGAAGTGCTACTTCCTCCTTTCTCTAGCGAGTTCAGTAATCTTGTTTGTGCACCAGTGGCGATTAAAAAATGGAGTGCTCAGGTTGAAGGCATTTCAAGACCAGCAGGCTGGCTAAAGCAGATATAGTTGGTTATGGGAGACTGGTAAAGGCCCACATAGAGTGGCTCATTACCTCGAGACACTGTGACTAATGTTTTGAGATTTGTTTGTTGGCACTGATATTTTGAATGGCCCTGATGAGTTCTTGTCAATGGTGCTCTGTCCCACTGGGGCAGCTCCTGGCATTTTTCTTCCCACACATTGCACTCAAGACAGCATTTTGAGACTACTGGGACTGAGAAAATCATTCCTCATCCAGACCATAACTGAAGAAACTTCACAGCCAGATCAATGCAGCTGACTCCATTTGGCAGTTTGGACAAGGATGAATATCAGTCTGGGGCGGTGGGAATCAAGAGTGGTGATACAAGCAGTGTTAAGCTTAAAATGGCATTGTGCTATGCCAAGTTTTGCTGGATGTAAACATCCACAAGCAGGAAAAGGGATGTCATCATCTTGAAAAATGAAACAATGTGAAGAGGTTTCCAGTTTGGTGCTGAAGGTGTTGGTTGGTTCTGCACCATTTGGGTGTGCTGTTGAGTACAGGTGATATCATCCATCTGACAGCACTCAGCTGAGAATTTCTTTCAGAACAATTGAAATGAGCTGCTCATACCATCAAGGAAACAGCAAGCAAGCAGAGAAGTTAAAAAGCCAAATCTCCTTTCAGGACAAAGCAGCAAAACCATCACTGAAATATGAGCAGTAAGCATCAAAGAAAGGCTGATGTGGTTTTTGATATACCTGGATGTCACTCCTCCCCCCCTCCATGTTCAACATATTGTGTCAGCTGAAATGCATTGGGCCCCTCCAAAGCAACAGCAAATATCTGGGAACAGATCCAGCGTTCAGGAGAGCCTTTCAATAACTGCAGTGATCATGAGCTCAGGCCCAATGCAATAGAGTATTGGTTTGCTCACTTGGTTTTCTGTTTCTCAGGTAAAAACTTTTTGCCTCTCTGCTGAGAGAACAAGTCATTCGACTTAAGTTTTTTTGTTTTTTTTTTTTTTTTTTTTTAGGATCTCAACTTGCTTGTGTGAGATGACAGCCCAAGAGTATTTGCCAAAAGTTGGGAAAATGCCAAGTTTTCATTAAACCTCTTGTAAACCCCAAATTGCCGTCCTGCGAGGCTACATCTGGCAAGGAAGCCATCTGTGATTCGTATAGTCTTGCTCCAACAAAACGACAACAGTGTGAAAAACTCTTTTCTCTGGTCGGCAGTGAACTGTAAAAGTAACATTAGTAATAGCTTCTGCAGGCTCAGTAATGACATAATTGACATTGGCTGAAAGCACAAGCCCCAACTGCGGGGTCTTGCCAAGGCTCTGGATTGATTCATATCATCCTTCAAAAATACAGGTCGTAGTCAATAGCCCTCTTGGATGCTGCTTCTCACACTGGTGTTGAGACTGCTCTCCTTCTGAGCTGTGTCTGCAGTGAAGTCTTGCAGAGTATGAGCCTCCTGACCCCAGCCAAAAAAAGGGGGCTGTTCTGCTTGACTGAAGCCATTTGCTTGATCCGTAAACAAGGTCTGAATTTGCAATTGTTTGAAAACCTGCAGTTTCACAGAGAAGTGCACACTGCACCTAGTAATCTCTTATATCTGCAGCAACATGACCCGGTGCATTTTATTTAATGCAGAGCTCTGGTAAGGAGGCTGGGCTTTAAGCCATCTGCACATATGCTTCTTGGATGCCTGATATTTTCATTTTCCTTCAGATGAGCTGCACTGTGAGGGGGCTCCCATTTATAGCATCCGGGAATCTTTCCAGAATAAGTTGTGCTTGCCTTGTCTGCAGACCTCTCCTCCCCCCTCAGTCCCCTTCACCTCCATGACTCAAAAAATACAGACCCCAGCAGATGTCCATAGGAGGGGGGGGAAAAAAAGTGAGTCAAAAAGCACTGATTTGCTCAAATCTCTTGCTAAGAAAACCATTCCCCAGCTCCCTTTGTGTTTAAAAGCTTGAGGCCCCTGGTTTAGAGAAATCCTAGAAATACAGCTTAAAGATCTCAGTGGGATTGTGCTGTGCTGGGGGGCTGCCTGCTTACTGATGGGGAATGTTTGGAAAAACAGCACCTAACGCCTCCAAGGTTTTCATTTGCACCTCTCCTGTTCTACACATTTCATGGAGAGCCTGGCCTGAGGAGAGGGAGCCTTTTATGTGTTATTTAGACAAGTAAGTGACAAAAAAGCACTGACTTGTAGCCTGAATGCTTTGCTAAATCTTTAGGTCTTCCTGGTTCAGGTAGAAAGAAAGAAAGGGCTTACACACTGAGGGAAGACCAAAGGAAGATGAAGTTAAAGTTAGCAGAGGACTATGAGTAACACAGAACTGAGTGCCTGACCATGGGTGAACCCAAATTAGTGAAGAGCAGTGGTGGCTCTTTGTGGGCTGGCAGGCTCCAGGACACAGGAGCTGGAGCAGAAGATCTCATCCCCACACTTACAAAGCTCCCTCAGGAGCTTAGAGATCTCTGAGCATTGCTTCCCCTGATGCCAGAGGCAGAGTCCAAACAGACTGACTGCCAGACAGTGGTTCCAAAGCCAGCACTTGAAACCAAGGCCAGGATGCTGTAAACCAGCTCTCAGTATGCCCTTCTATGGCTATAGGGTCTGTTGGATCTTGCCTTTGGCGTGGTTTGAAGCTCCCATGGGCTGTAATCTGTGGTCTCTTTTTTGTTTTACACTGACTTTACAACATGAGCCTTCAGGGGATGTTCATGGCTGACTTACTGGGTGGGAAACAGGGAGTTCATAAGCTTACAAGGGTTTGTCTGCCAGAGCTCCTGACTGTGGCAACACAACGCTGCTCCACAAAGAGAAGGTCACAGACCCTTTTCAGTGCAACTACTATTGGAAGGTTTTGCAAGCCCATCATGCGGTAGGGATGGATCCCCAGCATGGTTTTGTAACACCATTATGCTGAGGCAATAGTACTCTACTGATGCCTTCCAGAAATAAAGCCATGTCCTACCAGGCATGGCCTGAGGGATGTGGGACTCAAAAGGCTCCAGTTTGTCCAGCGCTGTTAAACACCACATCTCTGCTGCCAAGGAAGGACCGATGTCACCAGTAAGGCTAGACCCACTCTATGGCATAGGGAAAGCCCAACTTTTTTTGCTGTTCCTAGGAGATCCCAGCCAAATTATCCTGGACAGTGGGGACCAGGTGCTAGCCACCTCACTGCCTTCTAGCTCATCAGAAGCCCTTCTGCACTGACACTTTCTGATGAAGGATACTCCGTAAATCATTTCCTGCTGCAGGGGGATTGGAACTGATGATCTTTGAGGTCCCTTCCAACCCAAGCCATTCTGGGGTCCCCCAGGAAGCTCCCATCCCCTCCTCTCTCATCCCCTACTCTCATATTCTGGTGGAGTATTTGTTCCTTAGTCCTGATAAACCAAGGTTGGAGAAGATATCAAAGGGGAAAAATGCATAATGCAAGTAGGGAAGCAGACAAAATGAACAGAAATCTGATCATGGGTGGTCACTTCCTCCATTTGTATGAGGATTCAGGAAGTCCATTACAAAGCACTTTATCACTGTCACTTAATTCCAACTAGGTTACAAAAGATTAATTAGTTTGGCTCCTCCTATCCGCTACCTGCATGTTGCAGAAGGAGGTGTTAGCAGTGAAGCCCTGCAAAACTCCAACTGGCACACAAGAAGCTTTCTTTTTCTCTCTAATACCTTAATAATCTGAGCCCAATGATCATGGGAGCTGTTAGCATCCTTCTAGGCATGGAGATGGAAGAAACGCACTGGGAACTGCAGACATCCAACATTGTCTCTTTGGGAGGCAGCCTTTGGCTGCCTGAAGCAGGGAGCCTCGTTTTATTAGGCTGCTCCTCAAGCTCATGTTACTATCACAGCACTACACAGCCCATTAATAACTCTTGGATACAGCACCAGGGTGATAAGCAAGTTCATTACACGCTGCATTCCAACATTTGGCTCCAAATTCATGGTCCTGAGGAATTCTATCTGATCTCCTTACGATGATTTATGGCCTCCTCTTTTTCTTTTCTACTGATCTTTTCCCTGGTAACCTGAATTTGATGTGAATTAGCTTTGAGTAGGAAAGCCATATCCCATTGCTGAACAACTTCAAACAGAAGTGGGCACACCTGCCAAAGCTTTCACACTTCTACTGTCTATATTCACATGTTGCACCCAAGCGTCAGGCAGCCTGCTGTTATCATCTGGACATCCTGTTATTATGCAAAGAGATCAGTAGTTTCAGAGGTTCCTCCATCTCCTGCAGGACCATGATGCACTTCACCTGGCAGCTCACCAAGTAAAATCATAGAATGATTGCATTGAAAGATCATCCACTTCCAACTCTACCGATGTGAGCATGGTTGCCCTACACGCACTAAATCAGGCACCAGATCAGGTTGCCCAAGGCCCCCATCTAACCTGGCCTTGAACACCTACATATCTCACATTTAGCAAGAAATACCAGTAGCATCAACAAGGTTTCTAGGCTTTTCTCATCTATTTCAGTGCAGATACGATACCTGAGCAGGACACAGACTGATATTCCCTCCCCACTGATCAGTGGACTGCAGGACCTAAAGGTGGAGAAGCATAAGCCAAGAATTAATATTACTAATTTGATAATTACTGACCCTTGAGTGTACAGGCAGATCTTAATGGTAATGAGGATGGGTGCGGTGCTCCTTGGTTCAGTATTCAGTGGCATGGACTTACCTCTGTCTGTTCCTCCAAGTCTGATCTGGTTGGGGATGCCAAAATACCCCGCTCAGCTCTTGCTCAGGGTGGTGAGTAGACAGATAATAAATAAAACAGATGGCAGGAAGAAAAAGACATTAGACCAAAGATCCTGGACACAAATGTGCAAGTTGTTCTGATTAGCCCCTGTAACTATCAGAAAGATCGATGCAATGGAGTGCTGTTAAATGAGATGTAATGACTAGGAAACCAGTGCAATAGAAAGGTGTTACAAAGGAAAAAAGAAAGTACTTGCCTGTCTCTGAAGATCTGGGCTTTTAAGGGAAACCGCCAATGGGAGGAATATCCAATCAAAGATCCTTCCCCAGGGGCAGTCAGCCCTTAAATTAGGTATAAGAGAGGTGCAGCCAGGTACCACCTTTCCCAGTCACATTGCCTTCACCTGTGCTCCCAGGTCCTTTCCCCAGGTGCTCAATCTGTGGTTCAGGCTGTGGCTCAACAGTCACAATACAACCCCCTTTGAGAAATTGTCTGCTGAAAGATTTGGGTGCTTCTGTACCTTCTAGTCTGTGCATAGTAGTTTGCATACATTGTCCAGAATTCTTCTTATTGTCATGATCATATAAAGGGTCTTGGTTTGCCACTGAATTGGGATTTTGTGGTCATAGCAAATGCAAAGACTAATCCCACACTGTACCAGAAGAAAAGCATGATCACAGAGCCGTTCTCACATGTTTTCTCAGGGCTGGCCCTTAGTTCACCACTGGCCAAAAAAAACCTGCAAAGATATTTTTTTTCTTCTTCTTCCAGAGTTTCTTATTCCACTAAGGACGTATTATTATTTCAAACTTAATGGGAATTTAATCAGAAAGGAGTGATGCAGCGACTAGTCACCAGCTGAGCTCTGCAGAGCCCTATAGATGGGGCCAAGCCCATGTGCAGCCCTTCAGTACTCCCTGACCATGTGAACGCTTGCCCTTAGCCAGGCTTTTGGGTTTGGAAATCATTACCACTGCCTCCCTCAGCCATGGCAGCTGATTACAGTAATAGGGGAATTAAAATCCTTTACCTGCTATGGCTCTTGCTCAGCTCCCCTCCCTGCCAAGTGCTATCTTTGTCTGTAACAGCCTGCAAAAGCCA